TGACCTTGAGTTTTGGAGTTGTAGTTCACCGACATCCAGAGAGCACAGTGGACTCAAACAATGATGGATCTGGACCAAACTTGGCACGTATACTCGATATGCCCAAATGTGAACACTAGTGTAGTTTGGGGAAAATAGACCTTGACATTTGGGAGTTGTAGTTGCTGGGATTTATAGTTCACCTACAATCACAGCAGGAGGAAGGCTTTTAGTGGGAGGAGTCATTGTCTCTTTCCAAAAAGGAAGAGAAGGACAGAGGGAGGGATCTTCACCCTTCTCTGCCAAAGGGGTTCCTAAGAACATCAGAAATATGTGTCTTCTGATGGTCTTTGGTGACCCCTCTGAAACCCCCTCTCACACCCCTTCCTAGGTTGAGAAACATTGTTATATACATTCTTTACCCAGTTGATGCTTTATAATATTAGGGGAAAATATAAAAGAAGCAATGGGGGGAAAACACGGGGGGGGGGGGGAGGCAGGAAAGGGAAACTATGACTCCTGGAATTGACTAAGCCTCCAATTAAAACAACAAAGGCAAATCCGAATGTAACCAAAGTGTCGCTAGGGGGCAAGCGTTCAACTCTGCGCATGAGAAAATAGGCCAGTCCTCCCATAGGCCTTGAATGAGACTTTTGTCTGCTTGTGGCTGTAGTCATGGCACACCTTGTGTTGTGACAATCTCTCATGGGACTCACATGGTACACCTCCTGAGCCCATGAATTCTTTTTGTCTCACCGGGAACTCAGCTTTGTTTAGTGTACTTCTCAATGTGTCCATGTTTATTATATTGACAAATGTTTGTTTTGGACTCTACAGTCACGCTGTAAGGGGAGTTAATAGGGTGTATCTACACCGGTATTTCTCAATGTGGGGGTCAGGACCCCTGGGAGGGTCACAAGGGGGTTTCAGAGGGGTCGCCAAAGACCATCGGAAAACACGGAAAAGGCTGAACATCTCTCCTCCTGTCTTTCTCTTTCTTTTTGGAAACAGACAGCAAATCCTCCCACAAAAAGACATCCTCCACTATGTAGTGTCGAAGGCTTTCATGGCTGGAATCACTAAGTTCTTGTGGTTTTTTTCGGGCTATATGGCCATGTTCTAGAGGCATTTCTCCTGACGTTTCGCCTGCATCTCATGCTTGCCATAGATGCAGGCGAAACGTCAGGAGAAATGCCTCTAGAACATGGCCATATAGCCCGAAAAAACCCACAAGAACTTAATCCTCCACGATGTTTGCCCAACCTGTCAGCCAAGGGAAGGGCTGTTTCTAAGACTCCAAGTGGGGAGGGGAGAGCAGGTGTGCTCAGCACATGGCAGCGTGGTGCGCATGTGCAGGTGAGGGAGAGCGTGCAAGGCTGGAGAGGGCTTTGCACCAGCAAGTCCCTTCAAGGCATGAGGGTTCTGTGTGGGAAGTTTGGCCCAATTCTATTACTGGTCGGGTTCAGAGAGAACTTTGATAGAAGGTGAACTATAAATCCCAGCAACTACAATTCCCAAACACAAAGGTCTATTTTCCCCAAACTCCACCAGTGTTCACATTTGGCCATATTGTGTATCAATGCCAAGTTTGGTCCAGATCCATCATTGTTTGAGTCCACAGTGCTCTCTGGGTGTAGATGAACTACAACTCCAAAACTCAAGGTCAATGCCCACTAAACCCTTCCAGTATTTTCTCTTGATCATAGGAGTTCTTTGTGCCAATTTTGGTTCAATTCCATAATTGGTGGGGTTCAGAATGTTCTTTGATTGTAGGTGAACTATAAATCCCCGCAACTACAATTCCCAAACACAAAGGTCTATATTCCCCCAAACTCCACCAGTCTTCACATTTGGGCATATTGTGTATCCATGCCAAGTTTGGTCCAGATCCATCATTGTTTGGATGCTCTCTGGGTGTAGATGAACTACAACTCCAAAACTCAAGGCCAATGCCCACCCAACCCTTGCAGTATTTTCTGTTGGTCATGGGAGTTCTGTGTGCCAAGTTTGGTTCAATTCCATCATTGGTGGAGTTCAGAATGCTCTTTGATTGTAGGTGAACTATAAATCCCAGCAACTACAACTCCTAAATGACAAAATCAATCCCCCCAACCCCACCAGTATTCAAATTTGAACATATTGGGAATTTGTGCCAATTTTGGTCCAATGAATGAAAATACATCCTGCAGATGAGATATTTACATTACGATTCATAACAGTAGCAAAATTACAATTGTGAAGTAGCAATGAAAACAGTGTTATGGTTGGGGGTCACCACAACATGAGGAATTGTATTAAGGGGTCACAACATTAGGAAGGTTGAGAAACACTGATCTACACTGTAGAATGAATGCCGTCATGGCTCAATGTTATGAAAACTCAGGACTTGTAGTACAACAAAGTCTATAGTTTTCCCTGCCAAACAATATTGATGCCTCAACAAACTACAAATCCCAGGTTTCCATAGCAGTGAGCTATTTCACTTAAAGTGGGATTAAACTGCGTTAAAGCTATGGTATAGGTGGACCCATAGCCTGGACTTCCTGAAACCAGACAAGTCTGAAATCTGATGGGTTGCACATGAGAGTTATGGTTTGGCAGAGAAGGCTAAAGATCCTTTAAAATCACAACTCTGATGATACCATAGCACTGAGCCATAGCAATTAAAAGGGTGTCATTCTCCAGTGTAGATTCACTCTAAATCAGACTAACCCAAACCTAATTTCACCCTATAGAGGACCCTGAACTTGGCATACAGAGCCTTTTTCATAGAGCACTTTTCAATCTCTGTTTACGTTCCTCTTTTGGCCAGCAGGAGGCATCCTTCACCATCGGTTGTAGTTCTGGTAAACTTCTCAAGATGTTGAGGTTCTATGTGTTGTGAAGGCTTTCATGACCAGAATCAGGGGTTGCTGTGAGTTTTCTGGGGTGTATGGCCATGTTCCAGAAGCTGGTACATGTGTCCTGATTTTAGAGTTTTTTAATACTGGTAGCCTGGTATTGTTCATTTTCATGGTTTCCTCCTTTCTGTTGAAATTGACCACATGCTTCTCTGACCACATATGGCTCCGGTCCAGCGTACCTGTCCGAACGTATTTCCTTCTACGTCCCACCTCGGAGTTTAAGATCTTCTGGGGAGGCCCTGCTCTCGGCCCTGCCTCTTTCTCAAACACGTTTGGCGGGGACGAAGGACAGGGCCTTCTCGGTGGTGGCACCCCACCTGTGGAATTCACTTCCCAGGGAAATTAGGTCATCATCATCCCTCCTCACCTTTAGAAAGAAGGAAAAAAGTCAATGTGGGACCAGGCCTTCGGGCAATTAGATTGAACGGACAATTGACAATGTTGACTATGGCTTGGAAGTGGATTATGGATAAGTTAAACGGCGTACTCAATCATAGTATATAGCTAGATAAATAACCATCAGCCTGGTAATAGCTCAGTGGACTGTAAGTATATTGTTTTAATTTTAATGTCTTAATGTCTATGCTTTTAACTGTTATAATTGCTGTTTTGTATTTTATTATGCGGCATCGAATTGTTGCCAGTTGGACGCCGCCCTGAGTCCCCCTAGGGATTGAGAAAGGCGGGGTAAAAGTGTTCGAAATAATAAAATAATAATGATTCTTGTGGATTTCAATGGCTTCTCTTTGTAGTCTGACTTGGTGGTTGTGAGAGTGGTCCAGCATTTCTGTGTTCTCCAATAATCTGTTGTGTCCAGGTTGGTCCATCAAGTGCTCTGCTATGGCTGACTTCTCTGGTTGAAGTAGTCTGCAGTTGCTTTTCATGTTCCTTGATTTGTGTTTGGGCAATGCTGCGTTTGATGGTCCCTTTGTAGACTTGTAGACACCACGAAGCTGCGGACAAGTACATAGGAACCCCCAAATGCAGTAGCATTGCCCAGGCACGAATCAAGGATCACGAAAGGCACTGCAGACGTGATTCAACCAGAGAAGTCAGCCATAGCAGAGCACCTGATGAACCAACCTGGAACACAGCATATTATTTGAGAACACAGAAATGCTGGACCACTCTCACAACCACCATGTCAGACTACACAGAGAAGCCATTGAAATCCACAAGCATGTGGACAATTTCAACAGAAAGGAGGAAACCATGAAAATGAACAAAACCTGGTTGCCAATACTAAAAAACTCCAAAATCAGGACAGTAAATAAGGAGGAACATGCAAACAACAGGGGAATTCCAGACAAGAAACAATAAGGTCCAGCTAACACTTCCCCAGGGAGCTCTGATGTGGGCTGGTCCAAGAGGTCACGAATAGTCAGAAGCAACTGAACGAATAAACAACAACACCTCCCCACAAATGATTCCCCCAGACAAGAAGCAGCCAGGCTTTGAAGTTACAAGGCCATTCAATGCTAATCAAGGTGGCCAATGGCAACATTCACACCTGCCTCCAGCAGACAAGAGTTCTTTCTCCCACCCTGGACATTATTCCACAAATATATAAACTTTACTTGCGTAGTTTCCAACAAACCTCACAACTTCTGAGGTTGCCTGCCATAGATGTGGGAATGCTTCTGGAGCATAGCCAGACAGCCCAAAAAACTCACAGCAATCCACTGTTGAGGTTCTGTTTTTAAGCATTTTTAGATGTTCTCCTGCACAAAGCTGTGGTCAATGTTTGGCAGACATTGACCATAGAGACCCTATTTATGCCATTCATGAATAATAATATTCCCAAATATCCACAAATATGGAGAGCCAACTGTGCATAATGAGATTCCTTGGAGATGGAACCGAAGTCACAACTCAAGATTCATTTATCTTTCATATATACATTATGCACATAGGCAGGGTGGCAATTTCATACATGATACTGTTCATTATTTTGTGCATGAAACAATGTTTATGAAAGCAAAGGTGTTACTATCCCACCCATGGATTTTGGAGCACCTCGGATTTCTGGATAAGAGATGCTCCACCTGTAGATTGTTTACAAACCCCAACATCTCTATCTGACATTTATTTGCATTTCCTGTTCTTCTTCCCCTACAGTCAATGTCACCAGCACCGGCCCCAGAGCCATCCCATCCCTCAGCATGTCCCAGATCTCCTCCACCTTGAAGCGCTACGCCGACTCACCTTCGACATACAGCCGGACCTCTCCCAGTTATGGCACCTATCCCTATTCCTCCAACCTCTCCACCTTGTATACAGATAGGGAAAAAGTCGGCTACAAGTCCACCTCGCCCTCCACCTACCTGGCTTCCACGCACCTGCGGACATCGGGGTCCACCTCCTCTTCCTCTTCGTTGAACTATGACGGGGGCGGGAGGTTCCTCCAACGCCCTGATTCTGGCACCCGGCTGAGCCCCAGTTACCTTAGAGCCCCGGTCCGGCCCCCTGGTAGTGGAGGGCTCAACGGTGGGGCCACCGGTTACTCCTTTGGCACTGGCTACCCCAGCACTTTGGTCCGGAAAAAATCCAGCAGCCATTCGGACTTGGCTCGGGACATGTCTGGGCTGCACATATCCTCCACTCCGTACCGAACCGAGACCTTCGCGACCTCCTCCCGCAACGGTCCCTTCCTTGCCCAAACTCGCCAGGAGCTGTCCGCCCTGCAAGGGTACTACCAGTCCACGCGGCATTCGGATTACGTCAAGGATTACCTGGAAAATTACAGCCGGAAAGGTGGGCGCTCCCCAGCCTCCAGTGTCTATGGCTCTTCCGTAGAAGTGATCACCCCGACTCTGAGGCCCACCAGCCGCTCCTCCGTCCAGCAGTGGGATCGGACAGACAGCCGGACTGATTTCCTGGACACGGAGCCTACGGTAAGGCACTCCCTTTGCTTTGGAGACTACTACTATTATTATACTAACACAAAAACCCAGTATGACACAGCAAACAAGGTCTCTCTGCTGGATGTCGTATCACAAAATCACAAGTTGAACACTTCCCAAGCGTCTAGGACTGTGTGATGTATTTTCGAATGATGCGCGCAGATCCAAGTCAGGTGGCCTTTTGCAGTTGACAGATCGTGATTTTGTCGATGTTTATTGTTTCCAAATGCCAGATGAGGTCTTTTGGCATGGCACCCAGTGTGCCGATGACCACTGAGACCACCTGGACTGGTTTATGCCAGAGCCTTTGCAGTTTGCTTTTGAGGTCCTGATAATGGCTGAGTTTTTACTCAATGCGACTGTCACCTGGTATGGTGACATCAATAATCCAAACTTTTTTCTTTTCCACAATCGTGATGTCTGGTGTATTGTGTTCCAAAACTTTGTCAATCTGGATTCGAAAGTCCCACAGTATTTTTGCGTGTTCATTTTCCACTTCTTTTGCAGGTTGATGATCCTTTTACTAGTTATTTACTACTGTCAGGTGATCCTTGTGACATAAGTTGCAATGAATCATTTGGGCCACAGAGTTGTGCCTCTGTTTGTAGATTATGATGATAATGATGATGATGATGATGATGATTTGAAACACCACAAGATGAGTCCACAGCAGACACTCTGCTGACTATTGTATTGGATCACATGCCGGACACTTCCCAAGTGTCTAGGACTGTGTGATGTATGCAAATAATGTGTGCAGATCCCAGTAGGTGGCCTTTGCAGCTGGCAGATGGTAATTTTGTCAGCGCTATTGTGTTTAAGTGCAGGGTGGCCTTTTGCAGCTGGCAGATGGTAATTTTGTCAGCACCAATTGTGTTTAAGTGCAGTTTCATCTTTAAATCCTCATATCGTGTCAGCTTTTCCAGTTGTTTCTCTTCAATCCTGCTGTAACCTGGGATTGTAACATTGAGAATCTCTACTTTGATTTTTAACATGATCATGAGGTCAGGAGTATTGTGCTCCAAAACTCTTTATTTTATAATAACATTATTATTATTATTATTATTATTATTATTATTATTATTATTATTACTATTGTCATCATCATCATCTTTTATTCATATAGCAACAACACTATGGATGGTGTACAACAAAACAGTTTCTTGTCTAAATCATACAAAGGAGATGGCAGCTTGGAAGGGACTTAACTCCTGAAAATATGGCCTCTTCTCCCTCCAAGGCCAAGGCAGTGGCAGTTGGGACGGAAAAAGAGTCTTTCATCTACTTTTGTGTTTTAGTATAGGGGAGTTATGGCCTCCTTTTATTTGTTTGTTTGCTTATAGTATTTATATTCTGCCCTTCTCACCCCAAAGGGGACCCAGAGCGGATCACAGAACACATATACGGCAAACATTCAATGCCGTTATACAATGACAAGGCAGACAATTATACATAGATAGAGATATATATAGGCTTTCCCATCTTCGGCATCTTGGAGGCTTGTCCTGGCTATGGGGGGTGGGGTTGCTGTCGGTCCACGTTCCCTGCTTTGTTCATAAGCTTCCTCCTTGATCAAATTGGCAGCATTTTTCTGGCATTTCCTTATGGGTGCCTTAAATACCTCCCCGGTTTAAAGCGGTACCTATTTATCTACTCACATTTGTTTTCAAACTGCTAGGTAGGCAGAAGCTGGGCTAAAGGTCAGGAGTTCACCTTGACCTGAGCTTTGAACTGTTAACTTTTCAATTGGCAACATTTACTGCAGCAGGTGGTTAACCTGCTGTGCTGAAGCCTGCCCCCCTTTTCTTCTCTCCCTCCAAAATCAGGGCAGTGGCAGTTGGAACAGAGGGGTTTCCTTTCATCTGCTTCTTGGTCTAGGTGTGGCAGTTGAAATGGAGGGAAGGACCTTTCATGTGCTTCTAGGCCTAGATATGATGAAGCTCGGCCTGCCCCTTTTCCTCCTCTTCCATAGCAGTGGAAGTTGGGATCTGTTTCTGGACATGGGTATGATAAAGCTGTGACATCTTTTTCTCTGCTCTGTCCAAGGTTAAGACAGTTGCAGTTGGGACATAGGAATAGCCTTTCATTTCCCTCCCTGCCTAGGCATGATGGAGCTGTGCCTGCCTCTTCTTCTCTCCCTCCATGGCAAGGGCAGTGGCAGTTGGAAGGGAGAGAGGGACTCCCATCTGCACCTGGGCCTGATAGACCTCTGTCCACCTGTTTTGCTTCTATTCCATATCCAGGGCAATAGCAGTTGGGATGGAGGAATAGCCTTTCATTTCCCTCTCTGCATAGGCATGATGGGGATGTGTCTGTCTCTTCTTATTTTCCCTCCATGGCAAGGGCAGTGGCAGTTGGAATGGAGAGAGGGACTTTCATTTGCTTCTGGGACTGGGCCTGATGGACCTTTGTCTATCCCCGTTTTCTTCTCTTCCATACCCAGGGCTATGGCTTGGATGGAGGGATGGCCTTTCAATTCCCTCTCTGCATAATGGAGATGTGTCTTGTCTCTTCTTATTTCCCCTCCATGGCAAGGGCAGTGGCAGTTGGAATGGAGAGAAAGATTTTCATCTGCTTCTGGGCCTAATGGACCTGTGTCTACTCCCATTTTCTTCCCTGCCTCTTCTTCTCTCCCTCCATGGCAAGTACAGTGGTAGTTGGAAAGGAGAGAGAGAGATTTTCATCTGCTTCTGGCCCTAATGGACCTGTGTCTACCCCCATTTTCTTCCCTCCCGTACACAGGGCAATGGCTTTTCATTTCCCACTCTGCATAGGCATGATGGAACTGTGCCTCCTTCTTCTTCCCTCCCTCCATAGCAAGGACAGTGGCAGTTGGAATGGAGAGAGATATTTTCATCTGCTTCTGGGCTTAATGGACCTGTGTCTACTCCCATTTTCTTCTCTTCCATACCCAGGGCAATGGCAGTTGGGATGAAAGAATGTCCTTTCATTTCCCCCTCTGCATAGGCATGATGGAGATGTACCTGCCTCTTCTTTTTTTTCCCTGCATGGCAAGGACAGTGGCAATTGGAATGGAGAAAGGGACTTTCATCTGCTTCTGGGCCTGATGGAGCTGTGTCTGCCTCATCTTTTCTCTCCCTGATACCAGGGCATTGGCAGCTGGGATTGAAGGATGGCCTTGCATTTGCTTCTAGGCCCTGGCATGATGGAGCTGTGTCCGCTTCTCCTTTCCCTCTGGCCCAAATGCAGTGGCAGTTGGGATGGAGAAAGAATGGGCGAGGTTATGTTGCCCATTTCCTTTGAGACTGGAGCAAAATGCATTATGCTATTCTGTCATAGAACTGCCAGTGTTGCCCTTTCTTTGCCAGATAAAGAAGTCAAAGTTCTAGGCCGATGCACCAAACAGGACACACAATGCTCAAAAAAAATGCAGGCACTCAAATGGAGAGATTCCGGGAACGGGAGATTCAGAGAAGCAACTTCTCCAGCCTCTGCACACACCCTTCCCATGTGCTGAGACAGCTGCCTCACGCCGTGATTCACGCGGGGACAGTTCCGCCCTGATATGTTCCTCGGGGAGCTGTTGACAAGGAAAGAGGAATTTGTGTGTGTGTGTGTGTGTGTGTGTGTGCTTCTGTTTGTTCTCAAGCAAGTATTAAACAATTATACCTGTTACATAAACCCCAGGGACGGGTGCCAGGGAAAGAGCTGTGACTGACAGACTAATTACAGGCTCCCAAGTCCCAGGCAGCAGCAACCCATTCATTGCCAGGAACAGCTCAGGTTTGTGTCTTTTGCTGGGAAAGGACACAAAGCGGTGGCTTTGTCAAAGTAGACCCTCTAAGGTAGAGTTTACAGGATGGGGATGAATGAAAGCATCTCTCACCTTCCATGAATTGTCCTTGAGCATTTGGAAGCTCAGTTTGGGAATCCAAAGGAAAGGGGACCTTAAATAGACCAAAGGAAATACAGTAGAATCTTGCTTATCCAACCTTCGCTCATCCAACATTCTGTATTATCCAACGCAGTCTGCTTCCCGCCCGGATCCACAGTTGTTTCAATACATTGCGATGTTTTGATGCTAAATTCGTAAATATAGTAATTACTACATAACTTTGCTGTGTATTGAACTGCTTTTTCTGTCAATTTGTTGTAAAACAGGATGTTTTGGTGCTTAATTTTTAAAATTATAATATAATTTGATGTTTAATAGGCTTTTCCTTAATCCCTCTTCATTATCCAACATTTTCGCTTATCTAGCGTTCTGTTGGCCCATTTATGTTGGATAATAGGCATGTGCGATCCATGGTTCTAAAGTACTTACAAAGCTAGGGGGCAATGGTGCTTTGCCTCTAAAGTGTTTCTAAAGTTCTGGTGGTGAAAATTTCAGAACTCTAACAAAACTTTCAGAATTTTGTTATAAATGGCTGTTCCTGATTTGTTCTGTCATATATATTTTTGGTCATGTCAGGAGCGACTTGAGAAACTGCAAGTCGCTTCTGCTGTGAGAGAATTAGCCGTCTGCAAGGACGTTGCCCAGGGGATGCCCGGATGAATTGATTTTTTATCATCCTTGTGGGAGGCCTCTCTCATGTCCCCGCATGAGGAGCTGGAGCTGACAGAGGGACCTCATCCGTCTCTCCCCGGATTCGAACCTGTGACCTGTCAGTCTTCAGTCCTGCCAGCACAGGGGTTTAACCCACTGCGCCACCAGGGGCTCCGGTTCTGTCATAAACATAGCCAGTAATGAAATAATAATGAAATTTTGAAGATTTTTGTTAGCGTTCTGAAATTTTCACCACCAGAACTTTAGAAACACTTTAGAAGCCAAGCACCAGCTTTAGAAACACTTTAGAATATTATAATAATAATAATAATAATAATAATAATAATAATAACAACAACAACAACACTTTATTTGTACCCCGCTACCATCTCTCCAAGGGACTCAGTGCGACTTACATGAGGCCAAGACCGCAATACATCAATAAACAAAACATCAATAAAATAAAACATCAATAAACAATCAA